TACGTTCCAAATTTTTTTTTTTAATTTTTAAATTTACAACAAATTTTTTTTAATTTCCGAAAATCATAAACAATCATATCGGTTACTTGGGTTTTTTAATTTTTTTATTTTATATCTTTTTGTAAAGAAAAAACTAATTTTTTTTTCTTAATAGTCTTATGAACGTGGACTTGGCGCGATTTTTTTTACAGTGAAACTGTTTTTGTTCGGATTATTAAATAACAATCTATCATATCTTATTTATTAAGACTTTATCAGGGTTTTAAAAATTAATATCTAATACACTTATTGTTCTAAAAAATGTAAATTTTTAATTATTAGAATGAATTTAATTTGATTATAAAAATATTAAAAAAGAAATATTTGGCGGGGTATTTATAAAAATTGATTAATTAAAAAAAAAAAATTAAACTTGAGTTATTTATTGAATGTTAGGATTTTAGATAGTATTGATTTATATTTTTTAAAAAATTATCTTAATAATTTAATCTATCAAAATTTTGTAATATTAGTTTTACATTGTTATCTAATCTATTTAATTTAATATAACCAATGATCGGAGGAATTTATTGTAATAAATTAACAAAAATAAATATTTCAGCTCCACATACAGTTGAAGAAAAAGAAAGTGAGAAACCACCACCAGGCTATCCAGGTCTTGAGACAATTTTACCTCTCCTCCTGAACGCTGTCAACGAGGGAAGACTCACGATGGAGGTAAAAAATATTCAAAGCTTTTAAATAGATAAGCTAATAGATTAGGAAAAGAATCCCCCCCTGCGATTCTTTATCTATAAAACGCGATCTTGAACTTAACAATAAAAATCATCGGTAATCTCGGGTGTTAATCTTCGACATTGAACGCACCGACGTGGTTATGTCCACGTATAAAATCCTGTAATAAATTGAAAACAAAAAAAAAACCATATTAAAGATTAGAAATTACTCTGTGGTATTTTATCATTTATTGCAAAAAAAGTTGAACGTTGTTCAGCGATAAGTCACCGAGATAAGCGATCACTCCACTTAACAATGATTCCTACACTGAAAAAAAAGTTTTTTTATACCCGGAATACTGAATATTTTTTAGTCGAGTTTTCTTGTACGAAGTAAAAGTCAAGTTAAATATTTTAAATTTAAGAAAACTGGTATTTTAAATCTGAGAATACCAAGTTTTTTAACAGGACTAAAACTAAATTCTATGTTACCATAGCAACCGTGACGGTGGCGCCACTATTTTGTCATTTCCCTCCAATCTACAGTGTAAAATTTACCCGTGTTTTTTAGTTATTAGTTTACCTTGTGCCTGAGTCTAGTTACCTAAATATTTATTTGTGTAAATTAAATAATTTATAAATTATAAATAAAAGTATTAATCATTAATATTACTTCCCCTTACTCCCTTATTTATATGGATTCTTGGATGCAAAAGAAGTTGTCAGAGTGGAATTTATCATCTCTAACAAATTTATAATTCATTTTAGCAATACATTCTTTCCTTATAATCAATTTTTATAATAAGGTAGAAGACCCAGTTATTTTCACTGGCCTAGTTGTTTGACACTTGCAATTTTATTCTAATTAAAAAAAATAAAATGTTCTCAAAAAACCAATTATCTTAAAATTTATAATTCATATATAATGTTTATTAAATTATTATCAGAGTTGATTTATTTTTTTGAAATTAAAATAAAATTGCAAGTGTCAATAACTAGGTCTTTTACCTTAGTAATGTTATTAGTAAATTAGTAAAATAATGCTATTAGCAAGAAATTGCAATTTTTTGACAACAATGAGAATTAAAAATAAGAAAAGAAAGGCTTAATATACTATTTTCCATTTTTATTAATTTTAGTGTGATAAATTGTTTATAAATGAAGAATTATAAAAAGTATAGTTTCTCATAATTATCTATCTATCTATATGGATAGTAAACTTTGGTATTCTTATTTTAGGAATACTTTTTTTTTAACCACAGGGAAAAGTTTTCTAGGAGGAAAAAAACTTTTTTTTCAGTGTAGATAAACAGTGTAGTAGTTTCATAAAATCACCTCTCTTTTTTGTCTATAGGTAACTCTTTATTTCTTACCATTTAAAGATTTAATAAAATATTTACCTTTTTAATTGCAGGATCTTATCGACAAATTTTACCGCAATCCCAAGAAAATATTCAACATTCCCGACCAGCCAAATACTTACGTAGAAGTTGATCTCGACGAGGAATGGATTGTTCCGACTGCGATGCCATTTACCAAGTCCAAGTGGACGCCGTTCGCGGGAATGAAATTGCGTGGACGTGTCCACAGAGTCGTTTTGAGAGGAGAAGTCGCCTACGTCGAAGGACAGATTCTGGTTAACCCAGGCTTTGGACAAGACATACGCGAAGTCCAAAGACTCGCCAAGAGTCAAATCCATCCCCAAGCACCCACAGTAGACGTTACAAGCCGACCAAACTCCGTGCTGGAACGTCTTTTATCCCCCAACTATGAAAAATTCAACGGAGTTCAAGAGATCTCGGTTGAAACCAACGATTTCTCTCATTTATTCCAGTCAGGAAAAGGAAACGTCTACTTGACATCTGAAGTTGAAGCGCGAGATTCTGTAAAACCCACCCAGCGGTGTATATCACCATTGCTGACGACAGTCTCCAAAGACCAGCGTATTTTCAATCAACTGCCCCCGACAGTTCATTTACAAAACAGCCACGGACTTGCCGGGCAACACATTCTCACTGCCGACATGTTTTCTAAAGAACAGCTCAATGACATATTCAACACTGCCCAGACTCTCCGCTTGGCTGTCATGAAAGAACGCTCGCTGGACCATTTTCTCAGGGGAAAAATTCTGGCATCAATATTTTACGAAGTCAGCACGAGGACATCTTGCAGTTTTTCAGCAGCGATGTTGCGTCTCGGTGGACGCGTTATCCATATGGACGGCACAACTTCCTCGGTGAAAAAAGGAGAAACTCTAGAAGACACAGTCGCCGTAATGGCTGGTTATGCAGATGCCGTCGTCCTACGTCACCCTGAGCCGAGTGCTGTCGCTCGCGCCAGTCAGCATTGTCGTAAGCCCATGATCAACGCTGGAGACGGTGTTGGTGAGCATCCTACACAGGCTTTACTTGACATATTCACAATCCGCGAGGAAATAGGTACTGTCAATGGTCTCACTATTACTATGGTCGGTGACTTGAAGCACGGAAGAACTGTCCATTCTCTTGCGAGATTACTCACGCTGTACAACGTCAATCTGAGGTACGTCAGTCCACCCGGGCTAGGAATGCCGGAACACGTAGTGAGCTATGTAGCTCAGCGAGGAATTCCTCAGGAGAAATTCGCAAGTCTTGAAGAAGTTCTTCCTGATACTGATGTTCTTTATATGACGCGAATCCAGCGTGAACGTTTCCTTTCACAAGATGAATATAATCAGGTAATTAGTTTAGATTTTTGATAAATATTTACAAGTGGGGTCAGACATTTTCATTTTCATTTTTTTTGAACGAAATTTTTTATTTGATTTTATTGACATATTTTTGTTTTTTTTTTTTTTTAGAAAAATACATAAAAAAATGAACAATTTAAAAAAAAAAATTGATTATCACAATTTTCAAAAAAATTTAGAAATTCAACTTTTTTTTTGAATTGTTCGTTTTTTTATGTACTTTTCAAAAAAAAAAAAAAAAATTATATCAAAAGAAAATAAAATAGAAATTTAATCCAAAAACATGAGTCAAAATTTTTTTTAACTTTTAAAGGCAAAAAAGCTATCGAAATCTTCATTTTTTCCTTTCACGACATTTTTTACCATAAATGCGCCGTAAAATCAATCAGAATAAAAAAAAATTAAAAAATGTTAATTTTTCACCTTGATATGGCTAAAAATAGGTTTGACCTCACTTGCAACTAATTACCATATTTTTTTTTATATTTATTATAATGATAAATAAATCACTAATCATTGTAAAAATGATTACAGGTTTGTGGACACTTTGTCGTAACGCCCCAGGTGATGACTCGCGCCAAGAAGAAGATGGTCGTGATGCACCCACTGCCCCGAAACTTTGAAATCAGCCCGGAATTTGACACCGACCCGCGAGCTGCTTACTTCAGACAAGCCGAGTGCGGTGTTTACGTCCGCATGGCACTACTGGCGATGGTTTTCGGTCGCTGTTGATCGCTTTAATTTTTAAACATCCGATAGAATTTGCTCAACGCGACCTTGTATTCCTAAACAACAAACGTCCTCGATGAAATCCATATTCTCATACACGCAAATTTTTTTTTTAATCAATTGACTAAGCGCAAAGATATTTTTATATAAAACTGATAACATTTGCACGCAAAAAATGAATAACCATTGTTTTCTATATTTGAAATATTTTTTATATAATTGTTACATGTAATACATAAAAAATAATCATGGCTTCGGAGTGCGGGACTTCCAAGTAATACTTTATACACAATGTTGTTATACACAAATGATATTTTTTATCATAAATATTTATATGATTAATAGAATTATAAATATAATACGGCTATACAATACAAAATTCTAAATCTATTATACAATTTTAAGTAGGACGAATCGTGTAAATGCGAGTATACAAAATGACTTTGGTATTAATATTACTGCATATTTTTTTTTTACAATACTAAAAATAAACTTTACATGTACAAGAACAAAAAAAAAAGAAAACAGATAATTATTTATCCATCATTATTTACCAAGTATATATATATGTAAGTTTTGTTAGCTAAATAATATTAATAAGATTTAATCCGTGTGGATATGGCACACGTCGCTATAAATATTATTTAAGAAGAAGATTATCTGTAAATAATGCCTGCGATCTACGCTATTTAAAAGTTAAAAGTTATTTAAAACAATAGACACTGATATTATTATTGTTTGCTTGTGTACATATTAGGGTGACACAAAAAACCGACTATTTTTTTTTGGAGTCTCGAGTGAAAAAAAGTTAGTTTATGATGTTTTAAGAGCTCTCTCCAATGGACAGTTTAAAAAAAATTTTTTAAGAGGTCGCTCCAAATTTTTTAAATTTCAAAAATCGAATTTTTGTTTTTTTCAATTTTTTTTCTCGTTACGTCATAATTTTATAGACCAAAAAAAAGGTTTTCCTGAAAGTTTCAGTTTAAAATCTGAATTTTAAAAGGTCGCTCATAATTTTTTTTTAATTTATTAGTGGCTATTTAATTGGATTAGCATTTGTTGAGTCTGAAATTTAAAAAAAAATTATGAGCGACCTTTCAAAATTTAAATTTTAAATTGAAACTTTCAAGAACTTATTTTTTTTGGTCTATAAAATTATGACGTACCGAGAAAAAAAAATTAAAAAAAAAAAAATTCCGATTTTTGAAATTTAAAAAAATTTGGAGCGACCTCAAAAACTGACATTTTTTCACTCGAGACTTAAAAAAAAAAAATAGTCGGTTTTTTTGCGCCACCCTAGTACATATATATATTAACACATTTTATATATATATATATATACAATTAAAATACTATTGTAATTGTATAGTGACGTTTGAGCAACTGACGTATAAAATAATAATTTATAGATATCACAGTCAATTATAATTTTATCCGAAATCCGCAAAGTGCTTGCGTTGCGTTGCGGAATTGAGTCATCGAATCGGTATGACTTGTATTGTAAAGAGCTAATAATTTTTCTCTGACGTCAACGCGCTATTTTTCTCTGGTAAGATAACAATGCCGATTTAGCATATTCCGTGCCGAAATTCAAATATGTATGATAATACCTTATCTTAATTTAAAATTATAATATTTTCCCTTTTTAAATTAAACCACTGCGTCGATCGCGCCAGCTCCGTAATCTGTCATCCCACTGGAATACATGTCCGAGGCCAAGGATTTTTTGTCATCCTTTATCTTCTTTTTGCGCGTCAGCGAAGGCGCTTTCATACGCAACGGTTTATTATTCTTCGTAGTATTCTTCCTAAAGTATTAAAGTAAATTAATCAATAATTTATTCGAAAAGTTTTCAGTAAATAACTTTAGACTTACTGATGCCTGCAGTCCAGAAATACGCCCATAGAAAATAGAATTATTATCGCTACTATTATACCGACAACCACCACGATAAGAGTAAAAATCGTGTCTTCTTTTTCCGCTGTCACTGAAGTTTCAGTTGTCATCCAGGAGTCTTTATCTATATTTAATTAAAAATAACAAGTATTATCAAGATATTCCTTGTAACTCAATAGCTTTTTTTTTTTTTATATTATTTGATATTATTTACATGACTACATAATACTAGAAATTTGAGAACATTCTTTTACAGTACTTCCCACTTTTTTAATATTAATATATCATAATCGTATTATAATAAATGAAAACATTTATTTAACATAACAAAGCTAACGTATATATACAATTAAAAAAAAAAAAAAATGATAAATCAGCAATGAGTGGAATTTAGATTAATAAATTTATGATACTGAAATTGACAGACACTTAACAATTTTTTATATTTTTATAACAATTAAATATAATAAAAAAAAAATAACTAAAAAATTTCCACATGTAAAAAATAAAAAGAAATTACAAGTGCGAATTTTTTTAAATAATTTTTTTAATTATAATTGATTTTTTATAAAAATTCATGTCATTAAAAGCTTAGTAGTCACATTAATTTTTTTCTGTGAAAAAAAAATTTACTTTAAAATTAACCAATAAGAAATAAGACACTGACAGAAGTTTTCTATAATTTTATAGCAATGAAATTATTATGAAAAAAATTTCAACTCATGAAAATTAAAAAAAATTAATAATGAAAATTTTGAAAAGCATTTTTTTTATTGTAATTGATTTGTTATAAAAATTAAAAATATTTTACAGTAGTCAGCTAACTTTAATAATGAAAATTAAGTTAGCCGACATCTGAAAATTTTTAGAATTTTTTTTTATTGAAAAAATTATTATAAAAAAAAATTTCATTTGTAAAAAACTTGAAAAACTGTAAGTACAATTTTTTAAAATAATTTTTTAGTTCTAATTTAATTAATGAAAAAAAAGTTTAGTATTATATAAAAAATCAATTGCTATTTCTTCTGACTTTTGACAAATTTCAATATTTTTTTGTACTTTTGTAATTTTAAGAAAAGTATGAATTATAAATAAAGAACAAGTACAATTGATTGTCAAGTGAAATAATAAACTTTTGTCAGAAAGAGAAAAGCTTAAGCATGCGGTAGATACATGAGGTCAAAGAAAAAATTATTGAGACGGGAAACCGCTTAGGATGTGGTGACGTCAATGACTCATGGGGTCTTGATGCTTTTGGTAAGAAACTCATGTCAGTATAAGTACATGTAACATGAATAGCTGCACGTATCATACACATCGGGGTGATCAGACCGGAAATCTCAAGAGTAGAGTCTACACTTATATCCAAGGGTCCCCCGTGCTGTATAATTGCATCAATTATTTCAATGCTTCGATTTAAATTCAGATATTCAATGAATTAATTATTTTTTTTTTTAGATGCCGATTAAGTGACGTACTATCTCTTTGTTAATTTATAATCTCCGAGCTGTAATTATTTTACTTATAGTATTCTCTGGAACTATCAATCAGCATCACCGTTATATAGAGATTTAATCATTATTGTAAAAATTCTAATGATTATTTTAAGTACCCAGCACTACCATCCACGACTAAGTGAGTAAGAAATATATAAAGAGGTAAATCCTGCAATAGCAACAATTGTTTAAATCAAGGTCACTTTTAAATAATGATACATTAATTTTTAAACACTAATTATTTTCAAATCGTGAATTGCTTATCATTCACCTTGACATTGCTTTTATATTTTTTCATAAACTTCAGGAATTTATTGACTCATGATTTTTTAGTATAATTATAATTTATGTTTTAAGTAAAAAGTTTTTAATCAAAAGAAAACTTTTTATTAATTTTTAAACATTTTTTTTTGTTTCAGATTAAAATCATCAATTTACATGCAATGATATTTAAACTTTCTTTTCTTAATTTCATTTTATATATTTATTTTTCAAGTATATTTTAAGAATTTTTTAAAACTGAATTTAATTTTATTTTAAAAATAAATTAATTTTGAAAAAATTGCATTTATATTTTTTAAAAATTTCTTCTTGAAAAATTTTATAAAAATTTTTTTTTACTATAATTTATTTGTAAAAAAAAATGATATTACAGTTAGCAGTCACTTGATAATTCTTTAATTTTATTTAACAAATAAATATTTCCTAAAAAATTATTTCAAAAAATTTGTATTTATAATTTTTGAAATTTCTACATGTCAATTTTTTTTTCTCTTCTTTTTTTGCTATAATTTATTAGTTAAAAAAATTCTAAAAATTATTAAATATCTGCTAAATTAATTCTCNAAAAAAAAAAAAAAAAAAAAAAAAAAAAACAAAATACTTGACAGATGTCTATTATTTTCAGTATTATAAAATTATATGACAATTTGCATTTTTGAAATTAGCAAATCATATTTTAAAGTGATGAAAATTAAGTTAGCCGACATCTAAAAACTTTTAGAAATTTTTTTTATTGAAAAATTATTACAAAAAAAAGAAAATAAAAAATTTCACTTGTAAAAAAACTCGAAAAACTATCCGTGCAATTTTTTAAAAATATTTTTTAGTTTTCATTTAATAAATAAAAAATAATTAAAAAATTTTAAATGTCAGCTAACTTTAGTATTATTTTAAAATGACTAGTCCTAAAACAATTTATTTGAAAAAATACATACCGTTTATCGGAGCACTAGTACTATGATTTAAATCCATTTTGTGGCAATTGAACAAATAGTTTTTAATAAATCACATTTGTAACTCCAAGGAATAGTTGAAATAATTACAGGTGAACCTGTTGCAGTGAAACGAGGTGTTGGCCGGATCGAGAGTGAAACGAGTATCGGAGTTAAGAAATGAAGCAACCGGTTCGAAATCCTGGAGCAAACTGCCGGGTACATGCTTTACTACGTACACTGGTACCTCTACTGGGTATTATATTACTTGAGGCCGTACTGCTATGACAACGTCAGCGACCAGTGATGCTACTGGCACTAATAAGTAAATAACAGAAGTGGTGGTCAAAATCGAGAGGAATAAAGCTACTAGTAATAATAACAATAACAGTAAAGTATTTAATTAAATATAATATAATACTTACTGCAATTTTGAATAAATAAATTAGAGCTCTGGTTTCAGAATCTTCTGAAGAAAATTTTCCATTGCTCGCGTCAAGGATATTGACGCAGAGATGATAGAAAGTCAAAATATTATTCATATTACTTTAAATAGAGAAGGGAATTTATTGTATTATATGTTTATCATCTTCGTCCGTTTAAGTGAAAAGTGAACGGATTTATTATTTAACGCTCAGCAATTACGGCGAATATTAAATTTATTTAACAACTTTGATTCACCTGGATTATTCCCAGTGAATGCGAATTTCCAAAGTGGAATGAAACTATTATTGCTGAGTGTGTGGTAGTTTATTAGAATCAATTTCCGGCGCAATATAATCTACGGGTCTATATATCTATATATATAATACGCCAGCGGACAATTGTACCAGAAACATTTAATCGCGGATGAGAGAGAATCGTTTGTATCCAATTCGTAATTTGATAATTTAATTGCTCACTCTGCTGTGAAATGTACCAATATAATATCATGTTTAGGTTTAAAAACAATTCATTATCTTCGGTGTATGTACTCAATTAACGCTTTTATCATTTTTTTTTTAAATCTTCCTCCTGATTGAGGTGTTATTATTCTATAATTAATCCAGCCTCTACATAACTAAAATTAATATCTTACAATTAAAAATTTTTATAAAATTCTTTTAATTAAATATTTATTTAAAAAAATAATTGTTTATAATTAAAAATCTTAAAATTTGTAATAGTTTGTTCTTGTAATTTCACAAAAAATTTTAAAAATTTTATTCAAAGGTTTAGAAAATAATTTTTATTTTTTATAACTTAAAAGATTTGTACAAAAAACGGTAAATTTTACTATTTGGTAGAAAAAATATAAATAAAAAGTATTCAGTAGAATATTTAATATTGACCTATCTATGAATAATAATTAATATAAAAAATACTAAAACTAAATCTAATTATCTACTTCCTCTGTAATGTCTAAATGAAAAGTACGCGTCTGCACCATGAATTACACCGACAACTCCGCTCATCATCTAAAAAAGTAAAGTTACTTTAGCTTTAATTCATGATAAAAAAAAAAAAAAAAAAAGCATTCAAAAATAGAAATTAAAACTTACGTAGGCGGCAGTCATCGCCGGATAGACGTCAAATCCCGGTGTAATATAATATTGAACCCCGAGAAACATTTTAGTAGAGAATGCGAGGTAAAAAGCGGAACTCAAGTAAAAAAAACAAGCAAATGCGTTGAACATCATTTCCTGTTTAGAATTATTCAGTTTATTACAATTTAAACATAATACTAAAGTTAGCCGACATTTTCAATTTTTTAATTATTTTTTATTTATTAAATAAAAACTAAAAAATTGGACTGATAGTTTTTCAAGTTTTTTACAAGTGAAATTTTTTATTTTCTTCTTTTTGTAATAATTTTTCAATAAAAAAATTTCTGAAAGTTTTTAGATGTCAGCTAACTTAATTTTCATAATTTAAACCACAAAAAATCATTCCTTAGATGAGGATATTTAAAAATACTTACGAAGAGCGACGCCCGGATGAGATTATAAGACCTTTCGGAAATAACGTAGCAGCCGAGCAGCAACGCCGAGGTGAAAAAACACGCGGAGGATGTTGTTAAAGAACTTTCAAACGCTGAACCAATATTTGCGCTGTATCGAAGCCCATAATTTATCAATAAACTCTGGATCAATCCACTCATTATCTAAAATTGTTTGCACATTAATTTAAACAAAATTTTACGTGAGTAATATAATTATTTATTTAATTAATTTTAATTTATTGTATTTAATGTAAAGAAATAAATTACCGTTTCAGCGACTTTGACAGCACCCGGCAAAGTTTTCATGAACTCGATGTGTATACAGGTGAAACATCTACACCAACAGCACTGTATTCCACCAGATGAATGAGTTTCAACCGGAGCGATTCGAATGTTAGGTCTACCGTTGTTGGTCTTCACCATCGTGTCTTGGTGCTGTGATGCCAAGAGATGTTATGTCTGAATCAGCGAGACTGCATCCACAATTAATGTTGAGTTCGTTAAACCGGATGGTTTATTTTTATCAACTTGCTCTCACGTTTGTTTAACTAAATTAAACTTTTGTCTCACTGATATTTTTTTTATAATTTTTTAGATCATCAAAATTGATAATTGATAGGGGTCGAAGGAAGAAATGTCTAGGTTCGATCTAGTTTGATCAACTCTTAAAAAGATACTGAAGGAGGGTGCCCACGTAGAGCTTGATCGCGTGCCTTGGTACCCCCTGCGTTGATCCGACACAACAGCCGCGAAGTCAAGTTATTTTCGGCACGCGCCACGAGCTACTGCTTAAACCTCGGAAAATAATAAAAAAGTTTAAGACATGACAGTTGTCTTGCTTCCTTTTTTATTTCTATCTTAGCAGGAAAAGATTTTGGCGAAAAATACTTGAGTCGTTTTTAAATATTTTTTCAATTGAATACATTTTTTTTTTTTTTATTGTATAATATTTAATAAATTACAAGTTTGAGTATATTTTCTTAGAATAAATATTCCTTATCGGTTAATTAAATATTATTTTGTTAATAAATATTTTAATAAAATTTATTAATACTTTATTAATAAAATATATAAGTGTGACCGGCAGTTGAAACAAAGTTATATTTTATATTTACTTTTTTGTAGGGCTTTATATTTTAACCGCAGCTAAGCCGGTTAAAAAAGTTAACCAGGCTAAAAATTAGCTAACCACTCAGCTAAGCCGGTTAATTCAAATTAGCCAAGCTAATCAGCTAATAGTTAAAACCGGCTATAAAGTTAATTTAATATTTAATGAATCAATTGTTTGTTAACCGAAAAAAATGTAATAGTGATATTTCATTTTGAATCATTTGAATCTCGCGTAGGTAGTTTATATAAATAAAACACTTTCAAAAAACATATAGTACCTTTTTTGGCTGACAGGTGCCTCTAACTTGTTCTTTTTGATTATCTGTTTAAACATAAATGAACGTTTAAAAATTACAAATCTACGATATTTATTGAGTCAATTATTGTTAACGTTGTCGTCTTTATGGACTCATTTTATTCACCTTACAAGTGGAGTTGCTAAATGTAAATACTGTTCAGTTCAATATAATATAAAAAAAAACAACTGTAAAACAATTAAAAGTAAACACCCAGAAAAAAATCAAATCGTTACTTCAAGTGAGGAATCTGATTCAGCGTCACGGTATGTAAATTAAAAATTTGTGTGTCTAATACTTTCTATAATAAAGTATTTTTAATTTTATAAAAATAAAATAAATATTTTTTTTTTGGTTTGTAACCGATATGAATAATTAACTTAAAATTTATGTGTGTAATAGATCCGAGGATGATACAGTTCGAAGTACTCAAGAAAATTCAGATAAACGACGTAAAATACCTCTACTAGAAAGTATTACACTCGTAACGTAAGTAATTTTGTTGAGAAATTGAGTTAGCTGTCAGAATTTCACGTATTTTATCAAATTTATCAAAACCTATAATATTTATTAAAATATTTATAAATTATATTAGTTCCATTGATGTTTTTTTTTTTTTTTTTTTTTTTTTTTTTAATAGAATCCAAAATGCGAGGCTATTACTATGTCGTTAGTTAAAATGATTTCAATGGACATGCTTCCAATATCGTTTAGAGAAGGACCTGGACTTCAACAGTTTCTTCGAACTGTTTGTCCTGACTATACTATACCGAGTATAATAGTCATAAAAGATCGACTACAAGCTATTTATGAAGCTGTTCGCAATAAATTAGTTTCGACTTTAAATTATTTTCCATATGTATCTATAACAACCGATGGTTGGTCATCGAGAGCGAGTTCATCATTTGTGACAATCACAGTGCACGCCATTGATGATCAATGGAATCTCCGTTCATTTACGTTGGATACATTGGAAATGCCTGAAAGCCACACTGCAAAAAATACATATAATCATTTGAAAAAAGCATTATCTGATTGGAATCTGTATGACAGAGTAACTTCTGTTGTCCATGATAATGCACCTTACATGGTTGCTGCCATACGAGACTACTGGAACGCTGAACATGAAATGGAAGTAAGTGTTCGCTGTTTTTGTCACTCATTACAATGTGTAGTCGAAAGGGCCTTAAAAGAGGAAGTTTTGAGTGAATGTCTTCGCAAAGTTTCTGCTATAGTTGGCCATTTTAAACACTAAAATAAAGCAAGTGCAGCTCTAACTTCTGCTCAGAAAAAAAAAAATTTGCCAAATCATCGACTAATAAGTCATTGTGTTACTCGTTGGAATTCAGCCTTCGCTATGATTGCACGGGTAATCGAACAACGCGAAGCAATTTGTCATGTTTTGTTGGATGAGGAAGTGACGACTCCAGAATCAGCGAAAAAATTTCTTTTGAACAATGCTGAATGGGAATATTTATATGATGTTAAGAAGATATTAGAACCATTTGATGTGGCGACACGATTAATGTCTTCAGAATCATTATCAACAATTGCAATGGTGCGACCAACCGTCCATTCAATTTCAAAAAAATTTTTGCAACCGAATGATAACAACAGCGAACAAATTTATTTGCTAAAGGACATATTGGATGAAGAGTTGACAAGTCGATTTCTGGGAACTACGAAAGTTACTTAGATCCTCGGTATTTATTTCATTAATATTCATACTGAAATCAATGAGACGTCTACACCCACACGGGTGTAAAAGTACTCTTTTTTCACACAGAAAGAAAAAAAAATTTTCAGTCAAGAGTAAATTTTCTTAAATCAAGAAAATCTTAAGGAAGACTGAAAATTTCTTGAATGAAGTTAAAAATTCTTCAACAAAGTTAAATTTTCTTAAACCAAAAAAATTTCTTGCTCCAAAATAACTTCGGTCTTCCTTTTAATTTTCTTGGTTCAAGAAATTTTTTTTTCTGTGCAGCAGAACTTGATTAGAGATTTTTTTCACATTCATTATAACGAATTATACTTTCGAATTATACTTAAAGACAAATTATTAGAAATAATTACTGAAGAAAATACTCATCATGAACTTCCAACTTCAGCCAAGGATCAAAGAGAGCAAGATTTGGAGTACCTTTTTGATCCTGAACGTGGTTTATCGGGGGAACTTGAACGAATGATCAGTTTTGAAGACAAAACTGTCGTCGAAAAAGAAATGGATAAATATGAAAAAGAGCTCACCATCTCAAAAGGAGAAAATTCTTTGCTATGGTGGAACTCAAAGCGTCACAAGTATCCAATTTTAGCTAGTTATGCTAGAAGATATTTGGGCATCCCGTCGTCAAGTACACCTTCCGAGAGAGTATTTTCGACCGCAGGAAATGTTATTTCTGCTAAAAAGAGTTGTCTATTACCGGAAAATGCCAATTTATTGATATTTTTATATCAAAATCGTGACCTTTTAGAGGAAATTGATTAAAAATTGTAAATATATTAATAAAAAACTTAATTTAATATTAGTTTTAATTTTTTGTGTTAAATATTATATAATAAATCAAAGTAAAAATTCATAGTGTTAAATTCTATATAATTTAAAATCCGCAATTAAACTATCACGTCATGATTATTTAAGTTTAATATCGTGTTCACTTTTTAACTGGTTTTACTTTTAGCTGATTAGCTTAGCTAATTTGAATTTAATTTGAATTAACCGGCTTAGCTGAGTGGTTAGCTAATTTTTAGCCTGGTTAACTTTTTTAACCGGCTTAGCTGGTTAAAATATAAAGCCCTACTTTTTTGTACGTTTGTAAAATTTTTTTTATAAAAATTGTCTTAAAGTTATTAGAACTTTATATTTTTTATTAAGTATTCATTAGAATTAAGAAAAACTAAGAAATTAAACAAATTTTTTAAATTAATTATTGCTGAAGAAAATAATCTTGAGCAGCTAATTAATTAAAGAAATTCAATTAGTAACAAAACTAAAATTTACATTGAATAAATAAGAACTTAAATTAATTTAATGAATTCAAAGTTCTAACACATGTTTATAAAATTTTATATTAGGGTGTTTTAAATTAAATTTTGAAGAAAAATAAAAAGTTATTGACACAGTTATTTGACACTTGCAATTTTATTTTAATTAAAAAAAATAAAATGTTCTCAAAAAAACCAATTCTCTTAAAATTTATAACTCAAAAATTATATTCATTAATTTATTTGTTGATTGATTTTTATTAAAATAAAATTGCAAGTGTCCATAACTAGGCCAGTGTCAATAACTGGGTCTTTTACCTTAAATCTGAGCGTAAAATTTTTCAACGCAAAAATTGAAGATATATATATATCTTGATCATTAAAAATTTTCTGAATAAAATTACAAAAATATTTGTGTATCTTCAAAAGACTATATATGTTTTTGTAAGTTCAGACTTGGTTATTTGTGTTGCGATTAGAAAATGAACTGTGTAAAATATTAATATAAAAAATATTTTAAATCGTCAAGTACTCTGGTATTTTCTTCGATTTCAAGTATTTAGAGCCCTCTGTACATCCTGAGAGCAATAATGGTGCTGAAGAAATACAAGCAACAGTTTACAAGTCCACAAATCTGCATAAACAAAGAAACATTTATTAGTTATTTTTATCAATAATTTATAAAAACAATAATGCAATTTAATATAGAACTTACAGAAGCGCCTAACAATAACTCATATTCTGACTGTCGGCTATAACGGTCAGTCACTCTCACCATGAGATTTAAAGAGGCGGCAAGAAGTAATGCAAATGCGACTGCATGATAGATAACTTCCTGAAATTGTATAACTTACATTTGAATATGTCCAATAACATTTATGTAAACACTTAGTTATTATAAATATCATAAATATATAATTAATAAATAAAAATGTAAATGCAAAAAAAAAAAAACTTACATAAATAGTTTTCGAGATAATAGATTCAGTGGGAATGGAAATTAAGCAGCTCAATAATAATAGAAACGTCGCTATCATAAATGTTGTGACCATCAGTAAGAAGAATTGATTAGGAACTGTATAAGGATAGTATCGATCCATATGATGTCCCATTATTCCCACACATACTGCTCCGATTAGCTAAAAAAAAATAGATGTTGTTTAAATTTTTTGTGTTAAAGTTTCAAATAAAAATTACAAATCAAATATTTTTATTTTTATTATTATTGTATTAAAAAAAAAAAATTGTATGAATTTAAAATTTATGTTTCAGGTAAAATATTTATTATACTCTAATTGAGAGAGGTTTGATAATTTTACAAATTTTTTAACAAATTAATTACAGCAAGAAAAATTTATCTAAAAAATGAAAAAATTGTCAAGTGTCTGTTAATTTTAGTGTTATAAATATTTACAAATATAATTAAATTAGAAGACATTTTTTGTATAAAATTAAATTAACAAAAAAAAAAACTTCTCTTATTTTTTAGGTGAAATTTTAATAAAAAGCTGAATAAAAAATTTATTAGTAAGTTTTAATTATTAAAATTTTACGTGAAATATTATAATGATAAAAAATTATAAGAAATATTTTCTGTTAAATTAAATTTCCTAAAAAAAAATTCTCTTATGATTTTTTGCTTATTTCAAATTATAAAAAAAAAATTTTAACTATTTACAATTGTCAAATATTTAATAATAATTAAAATTTCATTTTATGGATTTTTTTACTGGGTATTAGTTGCTCTCATAAAATTTTCAAGCATGCGATTACTCATCAGCACAAGATAAACTTATCTAATAATATAAAAAAAAAAAAAAAAATTAAAAACAAACCAATTCCAAGAGCTTCAAAACCCCTCGATAAGTCTTTAAATACCCGGTGTTGATAATAATACTCGAGGTTGTCGTGGTCACCGTAGCGGTTCTCATCGTGATTGTGTGCGACATGATAATACTCCTTTCACTTTCCAAGCCTGCAAACCAAAGTAATAAATAATAATACATAGTGTCCTATATTATGCTACAACAATATCAATAAAATTTTTAGCGAATTCAAAATGACGTCCAACAGGTAGTTCATTATCGTTGTTTACGTTAACTATATATTCGGCAGCACACCAGAAAGTGGGAAAGTAGCACAAGGCTATGTTTTCGTGGAGCTACCCACTTGCTAACGACATACGATCTTCTTTCTTACAAGCCAAAATAGTTGTGACTTAATAAAAAATTATTAATAGACATTATGTGAATCACTGCTTATCATTTTTCACGTAATGATTAAACAATACATTCATATTGTATGACCTAATATAAAATTATAAAAGTGAACAATATGGACACTACCCTTGAACTTGAATTTTATGCGAAACAAACAGAGTTGCGTAGTGAAGTGGTTTGGGCCCACACCCCAGAAGTCCGTGGAATATTCTATAAAATGAGATCAATATCACCGCCGACTAAATTTATTAATTTTATTTTAATTTAAAGATAATTTCATTATTAACAGGTTGACATTGATTATATGATGATTATCATCTTCTAAAAATAAATATTACCGGCTAGTAATTTAAAAAAATATTTTTTTTTAATTATACTGAAAATAATAATGATACTGAAGGTAGCTGACAACTATAATCAATTTTTTTAATTTTTATAACAAATTAATTACAATAAAAAAATGCTTTAAAAAGTTTCTCCTGATAATTTTTTTTTTAATTTTCTCATATGAAATTTTTTAATTAAATTTTAATATTTAAAAAATTTTTATGATTTTTTTAATTAAAGAATTATCACAAAAAAAATAAAAAAAAAATTTTTCATTTGTTAAAAACTTCAAAAACTATAAGTGTAATTTTTAAAAAATATTTCTTAGTTCTAATTTAATAAATTAAGCAAAATAAAAAAAAATTTGTTATAAAATTCTAAAAAATTTCAATCAATTAATTTCATTTTTATAAAACAATAATAGATATTTTTTAGTTTCATTTTAATAAATTAGTTCTTAAAAATGAGCATTCATATTTTTTTACAATTTTCACTTGTGAAATTTTTTTTATAATTAAAAAAAAAAAAAATTTTTTAATCTAATTTTAGTTTTTAAAATTTTGTTTGACTAAAATAATAATATCAAACACTTGTTCACCAGCCGTTTATTAAAAAACATTGTTTACATTTCATAACAGCGTCATCGATCTTGATTAACGAATGATTAAATTTTTTTCAATTTTTTATGGTCAGTATTAATGAGTGTGATTAATATTTGATGATTGATACTAATCTAATAAAATAAATGAGAGTAATGATACTAAAAATACAACAAAATATCCAACTGACCTTAAATTGAATGATCACCGTCGACTGTCTACGATCAACTGGAGTTGCTTATACGCTTGCGTTATAGCTACTAACTTACCCATTCCGGTGGTTGGCGTCGGCAATGATATCATACTACGCACCATGGACATATACGACGTGCAATGTTATCTTCAGACTGAGAATTAAGGAATTATATTTTTATTCTTCCGATTAACTCGTTAAGTTTTATTAAATCCGAATTAAATCGATTACTGTCCATTAACTCGTTCAATTTCTCTTTTCATCATCTGAAAATTAAGGAGCATCAGACAATTAACTAAAAATAACAACAAACAATTCACACTATATTTTTTTATTAATTATCATCCATAACTTACAAATAAATAAAATAAAATGAGTGAACAAAATTTATATTCTTTTAATAATTAACGATAAATATGTGGATATATATAATTTTACAACATTGTTATATGACTTTCATTTATAATTAATACAATAATTATCTAAATGCAACGATCGATGTTTCTTCTTTAGACTTGTTAATATAAACTGATTTATATCTATAATTTTATTTTTACCTTCGATGTCTGTAATTATTTAGACTGTGATTGACGTATTTATATAATTTTTAATTAAATCAGTAGCAAAATTATTTATTAAAACTTTAAAAATCTACTTTCACTATTTCTTTAGTAAGGCACTTAAAGTCACATTTTATTTTATATTTATTCTTCAATTACGTATGAATTAAAACTTTGTTCTTTTTTTTTTAATTGTATAATTATAAAATACAAATTTATTTATAAAGCTTTTGTATTTTTAATTGGTTAATTCTGACAGATTCAAATTATATTAATTTATTTTTTTATAAAATAATATAATTAATGATATTAAATTTCTGACATCTAATAATTTTTTTGGACAATTAAATAATTATAAAAAAAACTTTTTAGAAAATTCCACTTGTCGAAAAAAAAAAACTACCAAGTATACCATTCATTTTTTTAATAAACCAAAAAAAAAAGATCAGATGTCTGCTGATCTTAGCCAGAGTTTTTAATTAATGCAGTCTATGTACATAAGACTTGCAGTAAATTAAATTTTGAGTACAAATGTATTCATATTTATAAATATATTACTATTGTAACCATACGTATATTATAGTAGTAATAATTACTGTGACTAATTGTAAATAAAAATAAGATATACAAATCGTCGTATGAATTGATGAATAAGTATAGAAAAAAAAAAAAAAAATAATGATGTGATAAAGAAATATAACTAACTAGTAAGCTTTAGAAAGATAATATTGTTTTTATAATTTGTGACTGATTTTAAAAACTGCTGGTGAATTAATAAACTATTAAAATTGTCTCTTAATACCCAGCAACGTTGGTAAATAATATCTTCACCCTTTGTACTCTATCAGTCGCACTCATAAATCCTATAACAATTTTCGGTAAACAATTGCGGACGTATAATTACACAAGAAGGATAAAAAATGAAGATTTTGATTGAAAAGTTATAATAAAATCTAGTGTGAGGAAGTATGAGTAAATTAACCGATTCGCCTTTACAAATTTTAAATAATAATTATTATTATCATTATCATTATTATGATTTACGTAAATATAAATATATATATATATATATATATTTATTGATTTAAAAAGTAGAGTCTCTATTTGGAGCATTAAGACCTGGAACAGCTGATGGCTCAGTTAAACTGCAGGAAACAATCCTGAATACAAGTTGATGCTGATACAATTTAAAATTTAAACAGGTACTCTATCCTCACTGTGAGTTATTGCTCTTGTGTTCGACGTAGAGGAAGTACGTTCCCGCAGCATAAGCTATGGTATTGAAGATTCCAAACACCTGGGGAAGGACATTAAATAAATTATTAACAGGTAATGTACTCGCTAGTAAATAACATAACTGATATGATAAAGTTATAATACTTACTCCGGCAGCAATATTCGATGATTTAGGACTCCACTGACTGTTGGTATAAGAACTCCAGACCGCTAATTGGACAATAAACGCGATGGTGTACAGGATAGTTATTATTCCTGTGTTTAATAATTCCTGAAAAATATTTATTATTATTAATATTATTTATTTTAAAATATTATTTTTTTTTTAAGTAGCAACTTATAAAATAATTTTCTTTTTTTAATTGCATAATTAACAAGATTCAAGACACTACTCTCTATGAAACTTATGTTTCTATCAAAACTTATTCACAGTTTAAGACTTTACAGTTAAAGACTGACAGATTTATTAAAAATTTACTGACTGAAAAATAAAATTTCATGCAAAGTATGAAGAAAAAGTTTTAAGTTTAAAATTTATAAAGTTTAAGTTATTCAATGTTGAGTTTTAATTGAAAAAGTTTAATTTCATTTTTAAAAGTTTTATGATAACTAGGGTAGAAGTACTGTTTGTGGCCAGTGTATCTTTTTTGGCCAAATGTACTAATTCATAAATTCTATAACAATTCTACTTGAATCGTTAAATTTTTTACAAATTAACTAAAATATCAAGTGGCCAAAAAAAAAAAAAGTTTAGAAAATCCAAAAGTGCACGACTCATAATGCTCATTTAATTATGAAATATTAATAAAATAAAGAATGTATAAAACAGTGTTTTCAGAGTTTCCATAGACATGGCGAACAGGAAAATTTTTTGACCTATTTAGATGTTTTTTTTTCCAGTTCTATTGCACTAAATTAATTTTTGAAAAGTCTCAAATTAATCTCCATTAAATTATCTTGACAATAGTATGCAAAATATCTTGATTCTGTGAACTAACAAGACTATAATAATAAAAATAGTTGCCGAAATAGGGCGAGAAATTGGTAAATGACATTTGTACTGTTTTAAAATTTTATTGAATAATTTATCGTAAAAAATTTACCGTCAAAATCCAGTGAATACGTATTGTTAATGCCTCCCTCAGCGACAAGAGATAAACAAAGACCCAAGCAAGGGTGATTATGAAGGATGCCGTCGCAACAAATAGGAACCAACTCGCTGCAGAATTATACACCGGAGACGCGCATGCCATACAAATAATGCCAAGACCCTGAAATAAATAACAAAGTTACATGAGTATTTATATATACATATCCAAACATGTAAATATACAATGTCACGTATTAATATTATTATGTACATAAACCTTATTACTTATTATACTAACAAACATATAATATATTGCATTACGCAACTATTAGTAAATAGAGAATTCATCAGTAGGCGTTTAAGTGGGTGGTAACTTTAAATTTCGGGAATGAATATTAATTACGCGTGGGCTTTAAAACCTTTGTGCATTTATTTCCTGGTGTAATTTCCAACAAAATTCCTACTCGATCTGCTTGACGATTTTCAATGATCAATTTTTAAAATTAAATTTCCTGCGCATCCCTTCACGCATCACCGCATTCCAGTCAAACTTGGGCCCACCGGAAAATTCTTTGAGCCGCTTTTCAGCCTCACCGCTAATTAGTAAATAATTACTCATATGACGATCTATGAGCTCATCTTCATCAATCACTTTATCCGGTTGTTCTTGAACGGGCGTGGTTGTTTTCACAGCTCGGCTCTTCCCACTTGACTCAATCTCCGGAAACTCAACAGCCAACGCGTGTTTTAAGTAAGTGTCTTTATCAGCAACTTTCTCCGATGCTTTATCCATCCTGGCAGTTTTTTCCTCCTCTTGCCTGACAAGTGGATGCCTCAGTCTGTCAAGTTCCCGGGGGTCAAACCCCTTTTTTTCCAGGAGCGTATTTTTCATCACCTCGATATTCTCCGCCTTGCGAATGCTCTCTCTGGACTTTTTAACTTTCAGCGCCTTTTTTTCAGCTTTGATCCTCGCGAGTTCCTCTTGTTCCTTTAAAAATTTATCCCGCGCCTCCTCGTGGCGCCTCTTGGCCTCGAGAGCAGCGCGGGCGGCTTTTCTGTCAATAACTTTTTTGTCGTTCGCCAAATAATCCTCCTGCCACCCGTGAAACTCCTTCTTGCGCTCTACTTCCCGGCAGACGAATTTTCTAAACCAGTCTACTCTTGCTCGGTAATTTTCTTTTCCTCGGCAGGGACTGCTTGTCACCCGGAAGCTCCCGTTGTAGTCGCAAATACCGATAAACTCTGAATTAACCATTTCTTCTTCTCTTTCTTCCTTTCCTACAACATGCGGCGCTCTAAACAGTCCCGTTACCAACTTTCCAGAAATAGTCTCCACGTGAACCGGTTGTCCCGTCTTTCGATACAAATCCCAACATTCAAGGTCACCATCATGCCTGGCAATTATAAAAACTCCAGGAGTGTGGCTCCAGCAGCCAGCTGTGTACCGAAATTTACCTTTCCGCCAAATTACCGGACGCTTTACAAAGTCCTGGTGCCAAATTGCAAAAATACGCCCGCCAATACTCAGCAAGACCTCTTCTATATGATCAGAACGGATGATCCTGATAACTGGTCCATCATGAACACAAGCGGCGTTCAGGATCTGGCAATTCTCCTCACCAGTGACCTCAAATTCTTGGCCGTGCCAGGTGCACTCTAACACTTGACCTTGTGCAGTGCCGACCCAAAATTTAACCACAGTTTCTTCAGAGCGAAAAGCCTCCAACGAGGACAAACAGCAGTCGAGGACGGTCAAGTTGAAGGCTTCCTTGGGCAGCTGAATATGGAGCCGGTAGTGCGGAGAGAAAACTCCGTCAAGCCGTTCTAGATCGTCGGTCAGTGACATTGCGGCCTTAACTAAGCTCTTCAGATTTTTGGCAGCCAAGTTCGACGGGAAATTCGCCTGCCAAAGAAGATCCCAAACTGCAACCGAGCCGTCTTCAGAAACTGTCATCAGCTGCAAGCTACTGCTTTCTGCTGTTTTCTCCAGCATCCCATTATCCGTGATTTTACACTCGGGTGGCAACCATCGGATCCCTCGGATCGCCTGCAAATGAGACTTGGAAGGATCCGAGGAAGCGGAAGAGACAATTACTTGAGTAATTGAATCAGAATAATAATCTTTAAAGACGTCTTCGGTATTGGAGTAAGCATTATTATCCAGGTCCCAGAAGATTAATTGCCCGTTTTCAGCGCCTCCGACTAGAATGTTAGCTTTGTAAGGGCAGAAAGAAATTGTTAGTATCTCACGAGGATCATCAAGAATTAATTTGGGCTTAAGTGGTTCATCGAGCGACCAGACAAGTGCACAAGTCCTGCTAAAACTACTCACACCGTCGACAGTCGAATCATTTGATTTATTAAGCTCGGTAGGATCATCCGAAATTTCCGCTAAATCACACCGGGGATTACTCACGTACGAAATGGCTACTAATCCAACTCTACTCGGGTGCCAAGAAACATCTGAAATTACTTTGCCCTTGGTAACGTCCAGATTTATCAAATAACACAACGCTTTGTCAAAATTAAACCCGTTAAAACTCTCGCTTTCCGTATAACTTGTACTCAATAGAGCCTCTATGTCGTCGGAGATAATATTGATCTTCGAATTGTACCCGACGTAGTCAACCAAGTCCCGAAGATGTTCCGGGAAGACTATTTCTAGCAGCTCGACATTATCTCCATCTCTTTCTTCAGTAATTGTCATTGTCTCTGAAAGCCCGGTCGGGCTGCTTTCTTCAACGGACGTCTGCTTCTCAGTTTTACCTTCAGGTAAAACCTCTTGATCCTCGTCTTTGGAAGACTCCACGGGGTCCTTGGATTCGTCACACTGGGTCCACTTGTTCTTGGGATACCCCAGATAGGACTGGACACTCTTGTCGCAGGATTCCAGAGTCGTGTTCACCGCTTTAGAAATTAGTCTCATGAATATGTTGTTGTATACCCTAGAATCTGGCAGCAGATCAATGGCACCGTCTCTCGCGTCGCCGCTATTTCTATCAGTTAATTTTTTTGCTTGACGACGCGCACTAGAATTAAAGCACAGCTCGACCTCAAAAAAGGGCCTTGAACTGTCTCCATCTTTCTTGGAATTTATATTTTCTTTTTTATCTTCCTCTGACGGTGTGTCAACACACCGACTGGTTTTAGTGATCATAAGATAAACTTTCTCCCGAATTTTCCTGGTTATTTCTCGGTTTCTCCTGACAATTGAGTCTCTTGTTTCCTCACTAAGACAAACTACGAAGCTGCTCGAGGTCAATTCACTGGAGGCGTACCCGACTAAAACCCACTGCGGCTTGTATTCTCCTATTTTGTTTCTGCAGCACTCCAGACCGGAATTATTTTTGCGTAATTGCATCACCAGTTCTTCTCGCGTCACATACGCCCATGGGTACTCCAGAAATACATCTTCCGCGGCCTTACACCCTAGCTTTCGTTGGGTCTCCAAGGGCAGTTCAACCTTGAAAACACTCTCGGCGTCAAAGATATTTTGGTCCGGCAACCAACTCAAATTCATGGCTTGTCCTTTTTTGAGAGCTGATAATTTATTTTATTTTTTGTAACGCGTAACCTCGTCACACTGCTACACTACGGCTATTGGGATACTTGCGCCTTGAATAAACCAGTTACTCTAGTCTCAAATACTTTAGCATCGATCAAACTTCTCCTTAGAACGCTGGCTACCGCCCCACCTTCCAAGTACCTGTTTATGTTTAGCTCTTGAGTGGTTGAATATTTGTAAAAGAACTTTATGGTTCAATGAGGTTTGACTTTAACGCAACAGTACACACTATTCAATCATGCATTTTAAGTTGCTGTTGTCAGAAATTCTCATGGCAAAAATTAATCTTTTTTTGTAATATTTTTCATCTAATAATTTTTAACTTGAAAATTTTTTTTATTTAAGTTTAACCATTTTTTCTACTTAATTCAAGAGATTGTAAATCTTAAAAATAATTTTCTTAATACAAGATTACTACAAACAGTTATTTTATTTCTAATGAACTTTAAAAAAAAATTTTTCTACATCACTTTTATGAATTAATCGACCGTGAAATTAAAAAATTATCAACATTTCTTCTCTTGAGTCAAAGTAATTTCTTTATTAGTAATAATATATAATAAAATGAAAAGTATACGATTTGATCAATAAGTTTTAATGTGATCAGTGATCATTTAGATAAATTTTTTTTCAAAATCTAAATAAAAAATAGTAACTTTTACCATTTAAAAAAAAAATGGACATTTTAAAAAACCTTATTAAGTTTTATTTTATTATAGTAGAATAATAAGGCCTACTTTAAAATAATTAAATAGTTGAATTGAATAGTTTAAATACCTTTGATATCTAAGATCAATGATAACAGTGTTATTTCTACACTTATATGATTATTGATCTCAAATAACTACTATATAAAGTACAATTATAATTATTTAATTATGTATACTAAATCCGTAGACTTTATTGTTTTATACTAAAAATTAAGAAAAATTTTCAGTTTTAAATGATGAGTAACAATAAAATTAATGGATTTTTTAGAAAGGCACTTTTTATCGCATCACAATAAAAATTACAGTGGTAATAAAAGAAAAAATAATCGATTCATCGATGTGTATCATTCATATCAGTTAAAAAAATGAATTCCTAGATTTTACTTTCACTGGAAGTAATTGAAACTTAACAAAAAATGAAGTGTATACATAGAATTGATTAAAGGCTAATAAAGCTTGTGGAATTTGCAACCCGAGGACTTTCCTTGGTATTAAAACATTCCAATCGATCCTGTCTGACCTTTGAGAGGTGGCCACGCACGCTAGCAACACAAGTAATAAAATAATGTAATAACGTGCCACGCAAATTTTAAATATTTAAAGAATAGCTAAACAACGATAAAACTCTGGTGCATATTAAATAATGTCTGAAGGAGAAAATGAGACAGCATGATAATAAAAAACGCCGACGTTTAACTTTTAGATATCAAGTTTGGTGACAAAAGTCGGATATTTTGCGATAATTTATTACACATGTCTTAAAAACTCAATGTTGAGTAATATGATTGTGTGAATGACGCGAATCGGTGGTCGGTCATTACATATTATGGAGTTAAGTGTATATTGTACTTATACTGATTGTGAGTTAAATGAATCATTGACCAAAATAGCCTGCAAGTAAAACAAGACGTCGACTCATATTGTAGATTTAGTTACACATAACATTGCAGAGCAGACTTAAGCCTCTGTGTTGTGTATTATTATTATTTATTATTATTATTATTATTATTATTATTATTATTATTATAAATATATACGGCACGTATAGAGAGGTCTCTTGTTCTTACTTGGCATGCCGTTTTATTTATTTAATTTGCTTACGCGCTCCGATACTACGCGAGTAGTATAAAGAGGTTTTGAGCCGTACTTTCGAGGTCCCTGAGATTACTTTCCACCGATGTAGATGCAAGTCAACTGAGGTCAACACTGATGCTCTTCAATAAACAAGTGTGCGTACTAAACTTTGCCGAGTTTAGCATTAACCGCATTCGAGTAATCCTTAATAATACTAATACCGATGACCCACATGTCATGTAATTCTGCCTTCGGCTATTCTACAGACATATTCTCTTCATACATATTTGTTTTTTTTTTTTGTTTTTTTTTTTTTTTTTTTTTATTTTTCTTCCATTTAAGTTTCAGACTCCTTCGCTCTTGCCTTTGCCAAGTCTTCATATATCAAATCCAATATCAGCTATCTGCTCTGTAAACACTTTATCGCATCAACTTATGACATCATGTGTGTAAAAACAGAAAATTATTATTATTGTCAGTAATTTAAATGATGTAATAACTTAAATAACTTTTAAATTGACAATATTATCATGTGCTCATTTTTTTCGCCTATCTTGTATCAATAAATCAATTTAATAATTATCACAGAATTTATGGAATTATTTTTGAAGAATTATTCAATAATTAATATCTTAATTGACAAAATTAAAAATATATAAATAAAGTTTTATATTCTTCAATCTGTAATATTATTCTTACTATGTACAAGCAATTATTTTGTCATAATTTCTTTTAGCTATTCTCTTTTTTTGTAAATAATTTTAATTATTTTATTAACAATTGAAAAAATTTTATTAAGAACATGAAAAAAATTCTTGAACGAAGAAAATAATTTTTGAAAAATTTAATCAAGTAAAATTTACTTAAAACAAGTAAAATTTCTTAGATTATAAATTTTTCTACTCAAATATTTAATTCAAGTAAATTTTCTTAATTTACTTGGACTCTATAGAAATTACTTGTAATTAATATTATTATTAATGTAATATTAATATTCCATTACACAGAAAAAACAAACTTCTTGTGCCAAGAAAATTGTAAGGAAAATAAAAATTATTTTGGAGCAAGAAGAAATTGTCTTGGCTGAAGAAACTTTGACTTAATTAAAGAAATTTTCAATATTTTCTTGAGCCAAGAAAATTTACACTCTAGTCAAGAATTTTTTTTTTTTCAGTGTAAGAAAAATTTCTTGGACTAACAAAATCTTGTGATTTTATATAAAAAGTGATGTCAATTTAAAATATTATTTTCCAATAATAATCAAATACTTATTTTCTTCATATGAATATCTCTGACATTAATTCAAGAATATGTTGAATTTATCAATATAATTTTTTTGATTAACCCTTTGGCTCAATGAGTATTTCTTCACGTAATTCAAGTAAAATATAAGCTTGAGTATAATGATAATCGGCATGAACGATGTACAGTAGTAGAGTGAGAAACTGGTATCTGGATGTATACGAGTAATAAAACGACATGAATCGTCAGAGAGCACGGTTCAACGGACACGTACATAACTCGCCGATGACCTAAATGCAGTCACGGCTCGGTAACTGTCTACCTACTATCGCCGTTCGACTCGAGAGACGAGTTGTGGGACTAACTCGGGAAGTCTATGGCTGACCGTTCATGGACTTGGTCACCATATTCACTCTATTATCCATCTACAATAATAATATTCGTATTAGTAATAGGTAATAGTAATATTAATAAAAATAATAATTACTAAGAGTCAAGAGACAAGAGACAAGAAACAGCGAGGAGGCCATATAATACTTCATTCAGGGTGCGGCTCGTAGGTGCTTCTTGCCATTTCACAAACGCACATTACCGTCATAACACCGAGCTATTCTCCGTTGGAATTCATCAGGAATTCACTGGCTGAGCCTATTATTCACTAGGCAAATGCAGATGGAGATGCAGTGTTTAGTTTATATAAAACTGTTGTATACACATTTTGTTGGATTTCGTTTTCTGAAAGTTTATTATTGTTATTTGTCAGAAACCGGTAAGGAATTGGAGCGGATGCTCGATTGCACTCGGGCAAAGTAGAGAGAGGAAACTACGAATCTATTGGCAGCCAATCGGCTTAGGTTTACATTGGCTAGCTGCCAGGAAACGACTTCCAAGTGTAAACGCACCGTGCACCGTCCTCCGGAAAGAGTTTTATAGTTTAGATGTAATACTTGTGTCCGTACATTCATACACTATAAAAGACTTAAAGAAACTTTATCATTTTTTTATTTGGTAATTATATACAAGTGGACCTTCATTCATATATTTTCAACCATTTAAAATCTGAAAATCTTTATTGAATTTTACTTTTCTAAAAATCAATCAATATTTCCTACATGTAAAAAAAAAATATAAAAAATTACATTATAAATAGTAATCAGCGTCACTTCGTATAAAAAACTACAAAAATTGTAGTTTGATATAACTTTTTTGTTAATTAAAACTTTGAATGTTAATTTTCAGAGCTTTCAATATAATATTTACATTTTACAATATAATTATTATAAAATCTCTAATAATTACAATCTGAAACTGTAATTTTTCCTGTTTTCTATACAGAAAAAAAAAATGTTCTTGAATCAAGTATATAATTTTGAAGAACTTAATATTCTTGATTTAAGAATTTTTCATCTTGATTCAAGACAATTACTCTCTTCAAAATTATAATCTTGGCTCAAGAATTTTTCTCTTGAACCAAATTAATTTTTTTTTCAGTTTTATACAGAGCGCCACGTTATATTAATGTAATTTTTCCCTTTTTCTTTTTTCGGTGTAAGAGTAGAAAAAAATAACATAAAAAAAAATTATTTTTTATGAATAAACATAAATGGAGCCTCACTTTTGTATAGTTATTGATAATTTAAATAATAAAATTAATAAATATAAATAACACGGATTATTTGTTAATAATTAAAGCAGTTATGGATTTCGGATCGAGTTTAATTGAATTTTACGCTGACAAATGGCCTCTCGAAGCACCTGAAAAGTTCTCCGCTTGTATTACTCTCTATACTTTTGTTTTCCCCATCGTTGCTATTATTTATTTAAATATGAATTATATCTCACGATATATGTACTATATACAATGTACTAGCAAGAAAATTTACCCAATGATGATGACTGTACTCTCGTGAGTGAACACGCGCGGTGAGA